TGAACATCAAACTTAAGATGTAAGTAAACCCAGCTGAAGTGACTGAAATAGGACAAAATGCACGTCTTGGTTCCTAATTCATTGATTTGTTACAAAGAACAATATGTGATAAGTATTGTTCAATTAGACCATACCTCTTACGTAAGATACTCATGTTTCACTCGTCTAAATGAACTATGTGTATCCTATGAAGTAGTAGATCCCATTATTATAATGTATTAGCTTCATCTATCATGTTTATCATTGTCTATAATCATGTTTATTCTCTATTGAATTATCATTTCATTTGTAGAATATGAATTATATGATAAATTTATATCAGTATACAGTCAATATACTCGATTACATCAATCATGTTTCCAATAGTTTCAATTCAAGAACCAATCAATTTCGATATTGATCTTTCAATCATGTAGTTCATGGGCTATTCCTTGTCTTCAATCAATAGAATCGATTATCTATTATTTTTGTATTGATATAAATACACTTCAAATAAATTTGATTGATAATAACAAGATGATATTCTAAGACTGTTTCTATGGAATTGTGTATATCTACTGAATTGTGGAAATATGGTCGTTGAATGAAATGATTATGGAAAGTAGGGGAAGCTTACTGAATAAGAACATGGTGAAATAAAATGACATTGTTTTGTCATTAGTTGAAATGTGTTATGATAATTACTATTCAAATGAAGTAAAGGTTTGTGAGAGTATGTAACTGAATCGCGAAACTACCGATCATCATTGATCAATCCGTTGAATGGAACTTGTCACTATATATCTACTTGCTTGATTATAGGAAAGAATATGACAGTGTGAAAAAGAGAACACTATGGAATATTCGTCGAGAACAACAACGTAATCATATGTGATGAAGAAACTCTGGAAGCGGGTGGAAACATTCACGTATCAGGGTAGCATCATCGATGAACAAGGAGGATATGATGCAGACTTACAGGTAAGGATTGGCAAAACAGGAACAGCATTCCTACAGTTGAAGAACGTATGGAAGTTAAAACGACTGTCAATCAACATCAATGTGAGAATCTTTAATACAAACATCAAGATAATAGCGGAGAACCAAGTTTTCAACTATGGAATATAACGAGAAAATGCTTCCTAAAAATTCCAACCCTAAACCTATAATATTTATAGTAAATACCAAATCTTAACTAGTACAAACGTGATCCATTCCCATCATTCAAGAAAATGAATAATCAACATCCATATGCTCAAACTTATATTTCAATATATCTTCACTTAACAGGTCGAGTAAAGTGTAGGAGCCATTAATTGGTTTATTAATTACTTAGCATTCGGTTACATTGTGGTATATGCTGGCTACTTATGATCACAGACAGAAGTGGAATACCTGACAGTAGAAGATTGGGAGGATTGAATTGAAGAGAAGAGGAATGTAAAGGGAGAGAATTTGCAATGAAATTAGAATAGGAAGTGTTGAGTCTATTGAATCGTCTAGGTCATCTGGTTGAGATACACGCAAAATCGAAGTTTGCGAAACAACGATATGTCTAAAACAGCCATTATGTATTGAATAATATACGAAATTAGTTATAAAACTCAACTTGTAGCTTTTACCGCGTCCTCTTATATGAAATAAAAAGGGATATAACAATGCTGTAGGATTACTCGACCTGTTTAAGTTACGATTGACCACGTGTAACGAGCTCTGGATAGCTGTAACTGAAAGAGCTATGAAACATCATGGTCACCTAATCACCGATGAACAGATACTAACGAAATTTTTACATACTCATTGAGACTAATGTGTAGGTGTAGGGTGTCCTGTGGACTACGTCCAACCACCATCTTATCTCAACATAGTGCACACAATGTCGAGTCAATCAGACTAGTGGTCACAATGCAACTTGGTCGATAGGTTTCAATCTACACTAAGAAGGGTTTGACACACATGACGGTGATTGTCACGCAATGATGATGATGCGTGAAGAAATTTGTTTTCAATCAGCATTTGCTCACTAGTGACTGGCTTCATGTGTTATCTCCTGGAGTTCTAGTGAGAAGCAGTGACCAATGGATTTGAACCGGGTCAGTTGTGAGATATTAACTCACTGATGACAATGTTGGATGTGTCTCTCAATTTCGTGGATTAGTCCAAGTTAAACATTAAATCCATTAGATGGTGGCTCAGTGGTCTATAGGTTAAGCGTTTGCGCGTGAGACCGATAGGTCCTGAATTGGAATCTCGCGATGTGTGATCGTGTATGCGCAATGCTGAGAAGTCTCACAATAGGACGAAACAGCCGTCTAGTGCTTCCAAGCTTTCCATGGTGGTCTAGCTTCAATTGACTCATGATCTCAACTATTAAATTACTATAATATCCACCAAAACCCTTCTTTGATTAAATTCTAAATTTACTAAGAAACAGAGAAGTGAATTTTTAGTGATATAGAAATTCAAAAACATGGTGGATTTGATGCAGATGTGAAGGCACGGATCGGCAAAGCAAGAGAAGCATATTTACACATGAAGAACATCTGGAACTCAAAACAGTTGGCAACCAACACCAAGGTTAGAATGTTCAATACAAATGTCAAGACAGCTCTACCGTATGGGGCGGAAACTTGGAGAATTACGGAAGCCATCATCCAGGAGATACAGGTATTTATTAACAGTTGTCTACGCAAAATACTTCGGATCCATTGGTCAGACACTATTAGCAACAACCTACTGTGGGAGAGAACAAATCAGATCCCAGTGGAGGAAGAAATCAGGAATAAGCGCTGGAAAAAAGATAGGACACACATTGAGGTTGAGAGTTGTACTATTTTCAGTTCTAACTTATGTTCTAGATATTTACCTGGACTTCACCTACTGAAATCATAACGAGCGTTCAAACTATTCATCCAGGGAATGATAATCTCTCAACTTGACAAGTATCATATTTTACTACTCCCATCCCAGAAGTCCATTATCCTTAATTAGTGGTTAGAATGCAACAGTTCTTGGGTTCCAAATGCCTAATTAGTAACTTCATATTCCCTTGATCGTTACGATTTAGTCCATATTAGTTACAAGTATACCCTTCCGATCAGTGCCACACTGTCACTTGGTCAATCGAATACTATCAGGATGTATACGAAGTTATTCAAGATCTATATTTCATCAGTGGACTCAAACACATCTATATCCAGTTACAGATTTCAACAAACACTTACAACCCTCTCCCTCACAATCCATTATTGATCAGTTACTAATCATTTTACATTTAGGACAATGTTGTTTTAAGAGATAAACTTTCTTAAAAAACAATAATGAATATGACTAAACATAAAGTAGAAACATTGAACAATATGAAAGTAGAATTCATACAAGTCAGTTATCCAAAAACACACAATTTTATCTATACTCTCTATGAAAATTACCTTCAACAATACCAAAGTTAATGATACGTTTTCGGGGGTCACATTCTTCCGTAAAGTACAATCCATTATGAAAGAAGAATTAGGTGTTACTTACCATTGAAACTTATGATTTTCATATTTACCAAATGCCAATGTATTGCTCTAACACATCAATAAACGTATTCACTATTGTGCTGTATTGATTTTATATAAATCAATTGTGATTATTTATGTAAATATGGTGAACATTGGTGTTCTGTCGTTAAAATGTAGATACAACGATTACTGGATACTATCATACAACATTAATAATGAGCAATTAGATTTGGAAGAATTGTAGTACATCAATATTGTATCTCATTTCCATGATATTCGAATAATGATCAAAGAATTCCTTATAATTTAGACAGCTGTGTAACGGTAAATAAATCCCCAAGTTCACGAACTCTGTAAGTCATCGACATTGGATGCTGACCACATTAGTTTTAATGGATTCATCTAGCTGAAGGTGCTTGCTCACGCATATGCACCAGATCACGAGTGGGAACACTGTGATCAACTTCTCCTGCAACCGCTAACCAGCGTTGATCAGTCCCTTCTCCACATATTGCTAACCTAACGAATTTATCTTCAAATCTCCTAGCTTCAGACTACTGATTTCACTATTTATTTATTTATTTTATTTTAACACATAAGTATAGGTACAGGGAGGCACCAAAATACATATGCGCCACACAAATCTCAATTGATTTGTGTGAGGGCTGTGATACTGCCCGGGTGCCCAAACCGAAGCAGGTGGTTTTCTTAGGGGGCCACACCCCGAGCATTTGACCTGAACGTCTGACCCACAAGGCAGTGGAGCATCGTAAGGAGATGCAGTCCCATGGTAGCCGGTGACCAACGATTGGTTCATACACCATTTGTTCCCGCAGGATACTGGAGCCCATGTGCACCATTGGTTTGGGATCCGGTTATAGCGCCGGACATTCGCTTTTCGTCCCCTCATTTTGTAAACAACACCCCCGCCACGAGAAGGCAGTGAGTAGGACTTCCCTGGCAGGGGCTATATACGCACGGCCATGTGAGAGCATTTGGAGAGGGAGAGCGGACTCTCCCCACTCTCGGCCGTACCAGGGCATTTGGGGGCATTGATTTCACTAGGTAGACATGATTCAATTATAGAATGTATTACTGGTTAAAATGTTGTCAAACCACAAATACCTGTGGCATCATCAGCTGTATCACCAGTGAAAAACCATTTGGGCATAACCTGAAGATCTCAACAAAGCTAAGTAATTTACATCAATTAGTCACCAAATAGAAGCAATGATCATAAAGTATATTCGTTACAACAACTAGCATTTCAACCACGTGTTCCACAGTTAGCCGAAGATAATGCAAAAGTATGTTTAAAGGAATACACATATGAACACTGATTAAGTATAGAGAGCACTTGTGATGGTGTTTAGATAAAATTATCACCGTTTTTTTAAAAAAATTATTTGTTATTTCTTGGTCAAGGAATAGTGAAGTTCAAAATATGTAGTTTGATATAATTTAGTAAGCACAAAAATCATTGTTCCCGAAGGTTTCTTCGTATACCATACCACACTAGTCACTCAGTGGAGTCGTAACGTGTCCCACAAATATTGGTAGAGTATTATTCCAGATAATCGAAACGAAGAATGGATGATCAACACGAAATTCTACCTCAGGTTCGGAAGATTTAAAGCTACATCCATCGAGCATAAATAACGTGGCTGCAGCAGCTATGACACCTTTCTCATCAATCTGTACAAAATGATAAAACAAGTCAACAAAAATCAAACTGGAAGTAGACGGACGCATGTTACACTCAGACAGAAGTTATTTTATTCAATACTATATGTTTGACTGAGTATGAAATTCTTAACAAAACATAATGTAGCACTTCAAGAAAGGCTAATTTCAGCGTGCCATGTTCGGTGGTGCAGGAGTACGTTGGAAGAAAGCTAGGGGCGTACAAGACCAAAACATGGCACAAATTCATGAAGTCAATGACAACTCGACTGAGACATGTTGGTAGGTGTAGACTACCTGGTTGGGGGCTGCAAGATGATAGCAACCGATGGTTAGAGACCTTAAATGACATGGCTAAAAATCGTTGTTGCTGACTGACTGACATTAATTACAAGGTTTTAATTATTTCCACTAGTTATTTGTTCAACTTCCGACAAAGTCATTTTGATATACACAGTCCAAATTCCAAAGACAGAATGGAACACTATTGGTTAGGCATGAACTAAAACGGCTATTCATAAATAACATCTCCGTAGAAGAGGGCACATGTTTAAAGGCCTTTCCGTCAAAAAAAACCCCAATGAAATACCGGATATAAAACAAAACCATCAAATTTTAAAATTTATCTCATAATTTAAACCGAATAGCTCTCAAGATGACAAGAAACCAAAGTTGAAATATCAAAACCATGCTTGAGTTTCATTAATTCATAGATCTTAAAAGCTTGAGGATGATGATGATGATACATATCTAACCAAGCTCTCAAATGCGAATTAAGATATTTCAGACTGTGAGCATCCACCAACTACCTTATGTGACTCACGTTTACACACTACTACAAAAGTTCATGCTTAAGTGAAAAAACAAATAATCGCTCCAGTTATTCGACTTACTTCAAGTAAAGACTTGTGTAAAACATCTGTTACACATAATTTCTTCGAAACGGAAATGTTCGAAAAGTCAGCTGATAGTGAACTGAATGCATCCTTTATTCCCAATTGTTCTAAATAATCTTTTAAACTAAACGAACCACCTTCTTTGAGCTTAAATTTAGGCAGATATAAATTCAATAGCGTGTCTTCAAAACTACGGGAGAGTATCGAAGAAATCCCACCATCTTCACACATTAAATTCAGTAAGTCTGGCAATCCATCGTTTGAGTTTGGAAGAACAATTAATAACACATATCTAGATCAACAATGTTTTGAAAACAAAGAAACACAATTCAGCAGACAATGCAATGTGTTCAGATATATATGTGTATTTATTTAAGACAATTTATCTTACTGTGAAACTCCCGACCGTAGCTGCTACCTTGACGTGGTGGTCGGGCTTGCCTATCGTGATGACCCAACCGAGCTATATTGGCTGGAACTCAAGTTCCTGCAGGTTCTACCATGCCAGGCAGGTCGATTGGAGAACGGTAAGACTAAAAGCAGCAACTCAAGGTCTGAGGGCGAAGTCGTACTGCTGACTGTACAGAGGTGTGACAGCAGTAAGGTGTTTCCCTCGGACAACCAGCATCTGCAGCGATGCTGCCTTCTCACAAGGAAGGAAGGGGTTAGAAAAGGTTGACCCTAAAAATACCACACCTCACCTTACCCCACGGATTTCCGTCTCCGGCGGTAAGGCCGTTTGAAGAACGGAGCTAACACATTGAAAAACTCCCACAAAAAGGCCGTGCGCGACCGGCCTCAAGCAGTTGTCCCTTGGGCTCTGCGGTCACGCACCCAGGTCGCTAAGACCAACACTAATCCGATTTCCTTTTCAGGTCCCCCAAGAAATACCCTTCCACGGTGTGGGCAACCGGGAAGTGATATCAGCCCTCATACCCGTAACAGCACACGAGACCAAGTTGGTCACACTCAAATCCTTCCTACACCTCCTAATAACTCTCTTATCTCCACGACTAACCCTTCTCACGTCCCTTTATCACCTCGCCCCGCTAGTGCGAACGATTCGAGTACGCGGAATGTTATTCCTGGTCTCCTGAAACCACGCTCCAAACTACACGTAGGAGCTTTCAACGTCCGAACACTGTGCCAAATAGGACAACAGGCTTCCTTAGCTAAGACTTTAGAATCTCGCTCCATCGATGTGTGCTGCGTCTCCGAAACGCGCACACAGGATCCGAGTAGTGTCATTCATTTGGCCTCATCATGTCAAAGTAACGAACCAACTCGATTTACGCTCCGCGTATCTGGAAGCCCTGATGCTGCTTCCCGTGGCCTCGCTGGCGTAGGTATAGCATTGAGTCCTAGGGCAGAACTAGCTCTCTTAGACTGGATCCCAGTAGACAGTCGTTTGTGTGCTGTCCGACTAAACGGAACAGTAAGGACTCGAAAAGATAGGGACACTCGTCGTTGCCTCTTCGTCGTCTCTGCCTACTCTCCCACTGACTGCAGCTCAGATGATGTAAAAGATGAGTTTTACAGAAAGCTTTCCGACCTTCTCCGAAAAGCTAGGCGTTCAGATGTAGTAATAGTGGCTGGGGACTTTAATGCTCAAGTAGGTAAACTAAGCGAAAAGGAAAGACACCTGGGTGGATCTTATGGTGTCGCGGTTCAAAGAACAGATAACGGTGACCGTCTGTTGCAGCTATGCTCAGATAACCGCCTGTTTCTTGCAAACACTAACTTTAAGCATAAGGAAAAACATATTTTAACATGGCGATCCCCTAATTCGTCTCAACGCTGGACCCAAATAGATCACATCGCTATCAGCCACCGATGGAGGGGCTCGATCGAAGACTGTCGCTCATTCTGGAGCACATGCTTAGACTCAGATCATGCTCTAGTGCGAGCGCGTATTTGTCTACGTCTTACTGGACGTAGGAAACATGCTGCAAGGAAACCCCTTAGGGTCCTACTTAATGATAGTCAAGCTAAGAGTATATTTCAGGAACATCTAGAAAAACAGTTAGGCAGCCATGTAAGTGATACCCACCCCGAGGCAGCATGGAATGACATCCGAAAAGCTGTAGAAACAGCAGTGATGTCTGAAAGTACGGTAAACCATAAGGTTAGGGAGAAACACTGGATCTCAACAGCGTCTACCGCACTGATAGATGCTCGAAAACTCATTCCATCTGGCTCTGAACATAACGAAGAGCGGAGTCAGCTTAAGCGTAAGCTGACTAGAAGCCTACGCAAAGATCGTGAACAGTGGTGGGTAGCGAAAGCAAGAGAGATGGAAAAGGCAGTGGCAATAGGTAACAGCAGGCAACTGTTCAGACTTGTTAAGGAAACCGGTATTAGGAATCCAACTGTTAGCGAAACAATCGCAGAGAAAGATGGACATATTCATTCTCAATCCAGGAGACTGGATCGATGGGCAGAACACTTTAGGGATCAGTTCAACTGGCCTTCAGCAACACTTCGGTTTCCCACGATCTCCAGTCGACCTGAATGGCAAGTTGATGTAAGTCCTCCGACTCTTTACGAAGTTGAAAATGCTATAGGAAATCTGAAGCATGGGAGAGCAGCAGGCCCTGACAGGTTTACCCCTGAGATTTTTAAGGATGGTGGTTCAGTATTAGCAGCGAGATTGACTGAGGTCTTAGGTAGAATCTGGGAACTGGACGTAATCCCATCTGACTGGTCTCAATCACTGATTGTACCAGTCTATAAGAAAGGACAAAAGTCCTCCTGTGACAATCACAGAGGAATTAGTTTGACTAATATAGTGTCTAAAATATTAGCTTCAATAATACTTCGACGTCTAACCAAAGCTTGTGAAGAGCAGACTAGAGAAAACCAGGCTGGTTTTCGACTTGGACGTGGTTGTATTGATCAAATATTCACACTACGTCAGATCCTAGAGCATAGACACACATTCAGACGCCCCACAATGGTAGTATTTCTCGACCTTAAGGGGGCATTTGACTCTGTTGATCGTGAGGTTCTATGGCAATGTTTGTCACTGAAGGGAGTACCAAAGAAGTACATCAACCTTATAAAGGCTCTCTACTCGAACACAACTGGTCGAGTGATAGCTTATGGTGAACTGTCATCAGAATTGATTACCTCAAGTGGTGTTCGTCAGGGCTGTCCACTCTCTCCATTCTTGTTTAACTTTGTCGTTGACGTCCTTTTAGAGATGACACTTACCTCATCTAAATTTCCAGGAGTTGAACTTCTACCGGGAGATCCACTTGTTGACTTAGAATATGCCGATGACATAGTTCTATTTAGTGAAGACGCTGACAGAATGCAGAGTCTGCTGACCACCCTAAGCAACAATGCAAGCATGTTCGGCATGCGATTTTCTCCCTTGAAATGCAAAATGTTTCTTCAGGATTGGGTTGCATCGACACCCGAACTAGTGATAGGGAGTGAAGTAGTTGAGCGTGTCGACCGCTTCACTTATCTCGGAAGTCTCATCAGCCCTTGTGGTCTGGTGTGTGACGAAATCTCAGCACGGATACAAAAGGCTCGACTAGCTTTTGCCAACTTGCGTCATTTGTGGCGTAGGTGAGATATCCGTCTATCAACCAAAGGACGTGTTTACTGCGCAGCAGTTCGTTCTGTCCTACTTTATGGCAGTGAAACATGGCCAGTAAGAGTAGAGGATATTCGTAGGTTACTAGTATTTGACCATAGGTGTCTTCGAAACATCGCTCGTATATCCTGGGATCACCGAGTAAGTAATGCAGTTGTTATGAAACGGGTACTAGGTAAGGATGGCAAATCAATTGAGGAAGTAGTGAAACTTAATCAGTTGAGATGGCTGGGACATGTGCTGCGCATGCCCGATCACCGACTGCCCCGACGTGCTATGTTTTATGGTGTAGGAGTAGGTTGGAAGAAAGCTAGGGGCGGCCAGACCAAAACATGGCACAAATCCATGAAGTCACTGACAAGTGGACTGAGTCATGTTGGTAGGTGTAGACTACCTGGTTGGGGACCGCGAGACAATAGCAACCGATGGTTAGAGACCTTGAATGACGGCTCAAAATCGTTTGCAATGGCGCAGGTGCATCCACTCTTTGTGTTCTCTCAAACTCTAATCTTCTGAATTCTTCATGTCCTTTATTTTCTTTCCCAATTTATTCCACTGGACTATACTCCTTTAATAACATCATCAAACCTTAATGTCCCCTATCTCTACTTATACTTTCAGTACCTCTACCACTATGGGATTCGAATCGATAACTGAATCTTTGTGCTAATGTGGTATGGCAACTCGAACTGATGTACGTACGTACGAAGTTCCACGTTGTTACTGACTGACTGCCTGTACCTCTTCTAGGGCTACTGCCGGTCCCAAGACACGGTAAAAGAGGCGGGTTGGGAATGGGGTCAACAACCTTGCTTTCAAAACGCTAACCAGAATAAGCAAATCAAACCATTTAAACTCTGACCTCCGATCTGAAAGAAGACTTGTGACGCCTAATAATTAAAGCCGGGATTCTTCGGAAGTCATTAAGCCAATGCCCTTCCTAATATCCCATACATATCAACAAATGCAGCTCAAAACAAACAATGTTGCTACAGCCTCTCAATCAGTAGGACTCAACATACACAAGGGTAAAAGCAATATCCTCGAATACAACACAAAGAATACCAACGCAACCACACTTGACAAAGAAACTCTGAAAGGGCTGGGAACATTCACATGTCGGAGTAGCATCGTCGATGAACAAAGAGAATCTGATACAGACTTACAGGCGATGATCGGCAAAACATGAACAACATCCCTACAGTTGAAGAACACATGCAAGTCAATACCACTGTCAAACAAAATCAAAATGACAATCTTCAATACAAATATCAAGACAGTTAGTTCTATTGTATGGAGCTGAAACATCCACAACTACCATAACCATCATCGAAAAGGTACAAGTATTAATAAACAGTTGTCTATATAAGATGCTCAATGTCAGTTGGCTGGATGCCATCAGCAACAGTCTATTGTGGTAGAGGACAAACCAGTTTCCACCTAGAGAAGAAATTAGGAAAAGATGCTGGAAGTGGATAGAAGACACATTGAGGAAATCATTAAACTGCATCACAAGGCAAGATCTCACTTGGAATCCTGAAGGGAAACGGAAAAAAGGAAGGTCAAACAACGCACTGACTCGAGAATTGGAATCACATCGGAAGGATCAACAGCAACTGGAAAAGATTGCCCAGGACAGAGTTGGATGGAAAATGCTGGTGAGAGGCCTATTCTCCTTTATGACGGTCGACAGACGTAAGTTAAATATGATGTAAATTATCCATTTATTTGTGACTTCAGTCAGCTTTGGTTAGGTTAGCATTATTTGAAGCTGCATCTCTGTCATTAAGTTGCTCATAATTCAGTTATCAGACTATGCAATCAAAACACTGCATTCAACAAAACGTAAGCATTAGAACACTATAATTGCTTCATGGTCATGTCTAAACAAACATTTTAGCAAAGTACACTAATAATCAAGCTTACTTCGGATCCATAAACGGTACCTTGATAGCTCGCGATTCCAAATGTGGTAAGATGACCATACTGAAATAGGATACATCACACATTAACTTCACGCTCATTGTTGATCCGTCAAGTTTGAAGAAATCGCTGTCGTGTGAATTCTCGTTAGGGAAAGGTTGCCTCCATGAACCTGCCAAAAGTAATCACACATAGAGTTGTCAGCAGATATAAAAGGCTTTCTTCATAAAATGTGGTTGCTTCTTCCTTAACTGAAGGATTTCTTCTGATTGTACCCTTCCGTTTTCCCCATTATTGTTCTCTCTCTCTCTTTTTATAATTCCCCACGTTCATTACTTTTTTTCTCCTCTTCAAATTATCATTGTTTTGTGTGGCGCATATATATTTGGTGCCCCCTTGTACCAATATTTATGTGTTTAAATAAATAAATAAATAAAATAAAAGACAGTAATGAAAAAAATTAATACTCAAATAATCAATGCTCGATCTGAATATACTATTGTTGACGATTAAATAAATAATACTACCTTTAAAGTATGTAGTGGATAGTACAATGGCTGACGTTTCAGGCGATAAAGAATCAAGTGGGATGAGTTCTTGGATTGTTCCGTTGGTATGTTCACTAGCCCATTGATTAATTCGACTCCGAGCACATTCAGGATCTTTCCGAAACGTCACCTACACAGAAGTTTGATAAGCCAGAATTTACACTCACATGCTCAGTCAGTGCACTGTAATACTGCTTGATGATATTTTTAAATCGTTTCTCAACTCGCACATCCTCATTTACATAGAGTCTATTTCCAATGATTATCTCAACACTCTCATCAGGCTTCGAAAAATCAGCCAGAAGTTCACCAATCGCACTGTGGATTTTTTCCTGTTCCAAGCAATCAGGTAACTGCATAGCTTTTATTAACTCGGCATTCGTATTGTTTGCACTTCCAGAGAGGATTATTCCAAGGGCAGTATAGATATTGAAAGGAGAGAGAAATGTATTCTCCAAGTAACCTGGAAGCAACAAATACATCGTGAAAGACGCACTTACCCTCGTTTCTTTTCAAAATATTCCTATAAAGCCTTTCGCTGAAGTTTCCAAGGGATTGCATTACATCCATCACGGTTGAAATTAGTGTGTTAAATGATCGGCTTGAAAAAACTATTTGTAGTGGGAGAACACTACAAATGGTGCGTGAATAAGTCATTATCAAGAACTGCGAAGTGATATTATAATATAGTAAAACGTTTTTCATCATGCAGATGCGTTAACTGATTCAGGTACATGCAATTTCCTTCATGAACATTGTAGCTTAGTGATTTCGGCTTTTCTTTTAGTCTTATTCCGGAATATACTTCAACCGAAATCATTAATGGTTCCATCATATTTAAGGCTTTGTAAGGCTTTGTAAGTCTTTGTACTGTAGCTAAACTGTTACATCTCATATTTGCAGTGAGGCTAAAACTCAAATGAAATAGTTGTTTTAAGCCATCTCAAGCATTCTGACTAGTGATTACATCAAAACATGTCTAACTGTTTACAAAAATCCGAAATGCATGGTCAACTATGTAATTACTTCCAATTTATTGGAACGCTTGTTACGATTCTAGCTCCTTACGAACGGTAATTTCTTAGTGGGTTCTATCAATTATTATTCATTGCATCTTCATCTAAAAATCATTATAATATTAAACAAAGAAGCGAAAAATTACGCTTCATAGTTTCTATATTGAATGATGAAATAATTTGTCACAAACAAGTAAAACCAAACAGTCGGTGGTTAAAGGAATTACTAGGAGAACTAAGAGTTTCCTCAGCTCAGTAATGAAGCGCAAATCAAGGTCAACGAACAAACAGCTGTTAACTCATATAACGCCCAGTTTTAAATTTCCTCCACCTGAAGGTCAGTCTTCAGTAATAAGAATAGTAGGTTGGTGGACCTGTGTTAATGCTAACAGTTTGCCTTCCAGTGAAGGTTCAGCTTCTCCTTGAAACTGCTCGCTGATAAGGCTGATACCACTTTTTTGATAAGGTGTTACAGTCATTGACCACTCGATGAGAAAAACAGAAACTTACTTTAATTCACTAGGTCGCGGTTTGTGAACCTTCTTGTTATAACCTCGGAGATTAATAAGTTTGGAGGGAGCAAAAATATAAGGCATATTGACACTCGAATCCTCATGAAGGATATGGACATGGGACAGGTGATTGGATACAGTACTGTAAGTGTGGTCATACATAGGTGGGATATAAAATTCGCTGAAGTGACCATAACCCACGAAATCCTCTGGCAGCTGATGCGTTGCGATGCGTAGTTGTTTTCAAGTCGTGACTTATTATTACTTCAAAGATTTTATATTCCTGCACTCATAGAAGAAATGCACCGTCAATAATATACTGGTAGGTGTAATCGTGTCTGATATGCATGAGGTCATTCTTCCTAGAATTAAATTCTAACCATCAGCCTCAAGCCCATCAATCTAATTCGTCTAGGTCAGTTCGAAGATCAAAATCATCAGTCCTACTTCTTATTGTTCTCCAGATTTTGACGTCATACTCAAACAATAATATCGACGACCTAAGCAATATCGGTAATTCATTGATGTGGAGAAGTAGAAGACCTAAGGTCATGCCATGGGGTACACCACTTCTGACCGGTTTTCATTTGGATAGCGTCCCATTAACCCTCACTCTCTGTATGCAGTCACATAAGATGTTTCTTATTCATTCCTTCACAGCACCATTTTTCCGATGCTTTCTGTATAAGACCTAAGTTTGAGACATTATCAAACGCTATTCTAAAGTCTATGAATATCACATCGACAGACAGACAGACCGCTATTTAGAGCTGCTGTCTAATTCCCTCCCGCGATAAGTAATTTGGTCAAGCATGAATGCTTGTTTGAAAGCCCATGTTGTTCGGGAGTAGACAAGTTGTACGAATCTATGTGACTTCGTAATTTAACCCGAATTGTCTTTTCAAACAACTTAACGACTATGCTGGTTAGACTAACAGGTCAGCAGTTAGATATAATGTCTCTAACAATCATTGAATATAGGACTGACTATAGCAGCTTTTCAATCTCTTGTGAGTTGAGTGAGTAAAATTGACATGTTGAAGTGCACAGAAAGTGGTCTTGAAATAATGTTCGTAAGAGATAATAACTGTCGTGGATGTAACTCGTCAGAGCCTGGTGTCTTACAAGGTTTTAGGTCGGCGATCAATAGAAGAACAGTTCCCTTAGTCTCATGTACAGGTCCTATGGCTGGTATATCAGTAGTCTAATAATGACAAGTATTTCAACAGTACACGAGGAGTGAACCTCGTTGAAATAGTTTTCTAAAGTCTCAGATTTTGCCAGATCTGATTTAGCTAGTAAGTCTCAACATTCCAGTAGCACTAGTGGATGCATACCATCACTACGTTTCATTCTCCGTTTAAAGTATGAAAATAATCGTTTTGGACAGGTATGGCTATTATGTGCCAACTGTCTTTCGTAAATATTATGGCATTTAGCTATGGTCTTTTTACACATATTCTGGAGTTTTCGGTATTCTCACTTAAATGATTCGTGTCCTGTTGACAAGAGCAAGTCCCGGAAGTGTTTGTTACGCGTCTCATCTTACTTGTTTTCTTATCAATCCATGGAGGGCAATGTGAAAGCTTACGTGTTGACCATGGGATAAACGGTGATGTTACGGACTCGAATGTAGCTTTAAGGTTGTTCCATTAATCTTCGATCGATCCATCCGCATAGACCGACCAATCAGGCGAGATAGCACAGCCTCTGATTACCGGAATATTAGCTCGTGAGATATTAGAGCGGGGTGGGACAGATATATGTTGTATACCGTGTCCGAAGTCTGAAGTAATGTACAATGTGATCAATATTCGCTAGTGCAGGAGGGCCTTGGATATGGATGATTTCATCACAGTGGTGTGTCAGGACAAGGCCCAGCAATGACGGGTCATTTTCCAAGTCAATATGTGTCAGTCTTACGAATATTTAAATTATGAGTGTTGTGTATGTTACTCCACATGACGTGTCTTTCATCAGAATTCCCGAGTACCAACTTCAATACCCGTCCTGGTTGGATCTTGTCTCCAATGCATTTACTTTCGTGATATGCACCTCTGAAACCTCTTCAGTCAGTACATGTCTGACATCAGGATCCATTAACTCCAGCAAGGCTACTGTCTTTCGGCTCCTCTAGATTCCAAATAATCCAACTACGAACGGGTTTAACTTCTCTGAACGTCGTGTTCACGTCTTTCGATCGTGATCTCAGAGCCCGTCTGTTAATTGCTGAAAGTTAACTGTTGGTTTCCTGTGACAGAGTCGTGCAAGTTGAGAGAATGACTCACGACAATGTTTGATGAGGTCAAACGTTTACGATCTACGATAGGGTTAAATATTTGGCGGAGTAATCCGCAACACAAAATTTGAGTCCATCAGGGAACTTGCAACTGAACAGGCACTGCTTTTAAATATCTTTCCTCCTGTTTCACGTGTCCGCATCAACCGTATCGCATTAGCCACAGTAGGATAATGGTCTTATCACTGCTGTAGCAACTTGTTCAACAGCATCTAATGGTGTTTCGCTCATTAATTGTGTCGGGATAGAAGTCCCTATTGCGTGTTGCACAGTCGGGTATGTGATAAGTGCCGTAACAGCACTTACGACACTGACACTCTTCACTATTAATACCCATGTTATCGGTACAGCCCTCACCAACCGTTTTGTCGGTCAACGCCGGAAAACTAGTTGACTCTTGGATGAGCAATGTTTTGATCGAGCTTCAATGCACACAAAGTAATGTGTCTTTTTTGTTTAACTTGATTGATGCTTTTAATTATGCAGGAATCAATTAATATTTGTACTCGTAAAGACGAGGAACTATCGTTATTCCCACGACAAAAAAGTAAGAACACAAAGACCGGTACAAATGAAAGTTTGATATCCTCAATACACCACAACGACCACAACCCTACTCGAAAATACTCTCATCTATGCAATGTTTGTACACATATTCTGATTAATAATTGAAACAAAATTATAAGAATGAAAAATGCTCACAGTTATAACGAATCACATGGCGAGTACAGCCCATCTTAACTTAATACAAGAATATCGTATACAATAGTGATACGAGGAAGCGAAGCAAATGGGACATTGAGTAATCATCAAATTGAATTATAACGGAAATAATGTTGACTAAAATCATAATGATTAAGTCAATCTAGTTTCGACATTTCTATCCGTCATATCACAAAGTCAACGGGAGTTGGATTTTGAGAACCTTTTTTAAGCAGTGGGATTTAAGCGAGTAAACATTTTATGCAAACACATTTTACTCTCATCCAATTACATTCCTTTTTCAATTCGGAATAACCAATATGGCTGTCTACATTTGTGAGCATCTTAAAATTTTTTAGGAATGATAAAACAAAAAAGGATATGTAAAAAATTTCAAACATTAACGAGACAAATCGAGACATAGTCGACTAAGTATGCTCTGATGCAACAAATACACAGAAATGAAGTCGATAAACATAAGTACAATATCACTTTAACTGAAATGAACTCAATTAAAGTGAAAATAGTAGTTTCGATGCGTGGCTTATGAACAAAACATCAGATTTAACTCTACGAGGAGTAATAACACTGCTCTTTTTAAAAGTGCGTGTAATGAAGTCAATCTGTACAGTCCTTTAAGAGAGGAGTACATCAAGTGATGTGTGTCAACCTCTGTAGTATGTGCTCCAGATCAAATTAAAATCACTCGTTTGAGTAGCTGCTTGTGTTCTTTGAATACTCGATGGTTAAAACTTAGTCCCGTCCTGCATTTATCCAATTACGGCTTTTGACAATTTTCAGATAGCGCCGAAGGTGAATGACTCCTGAAATAGTTAGAGGATACGGTATATCCGACCTTAAACCATTATTCAAAGTACGGATTCCCAATATAAAGAACCCGCTCATTCTTCGACAAGATAAAGGGAAAACACTTGTGCATCATAATCGATTTTCATCAGATAGATTGCACATCAGTCTCACTAATTCATCTTATGTTATTTTGGTGCTCTAAATAGTACCTAAAAATCCATTGGTATACAGACGTGTCAGTATCTGAATCATTCGACGTGTTCTTTGCGAGCTTATTTAAACCAATCGAATTCTGTACGCTCTCTTGTTGTTATGTCGGTACGGTCGTATGTATTCGGTCATGTCTAATAAATGCGTGTATCGCCAGTC